GCTTCCTTTGGATTTTCAACACCGATAGGATATGGTGCTTTTTCTAAAGAAAACTGTTCTCATTTCGGAATATATTCTACTGATGCCCAGTAATAAGCCTCAGGAGAAACCACCTGAGGCCGTGGGAGTGGGTGAATTCTGATACGTAGAGATTTTTCTGCTGCTTCTCTATCTTTATAAAACCAAAAAAACCAAACTCATTGTCATCGAGTTAATTCAACTCATAGCGACTCCTCCTTGGGTTTCCAAGGTGGTATCTCTACGGATATAGATTGTCCGATCTTCCTTCCGAGGAATGGCTGGTGGATTTGAACTGCCAGCCTTCTGGTTAGCAGTCAAATACCTTAGGCACTATGTCACCAGAGCTCCTTTTAACTTTATATAAGCATACTTTGTGGATATGGTTCCAGATCAGAACAATAAAGTAAGTCATGTGAATTTTCTGGTTTTCCAGTTGTGAAAAAGGCATGGGGAAGGCATCTGACTTCCTCTAATTTCACAAGGGGGAGAGAGAATCATTATCTGCCCAAGGCTGATTCCTATAAAGTGGAGGTCAGACATGCTACCACCCTCCAAACTATTTACCAATTCTGACCTCAACTGTCCTATCTACAGCACTCTCTACTTCTCTGCTAGGTTTCATAATTCATTGCAATGGACACACTGAACTCATGGACAATACTCATGACTATGAAGTTTACTGAGGAAGTAACAGGTTACCATTCAAGATCATAAAGCACTCAGGATACAGTTCTTCAAACAGGACAGCCTCTTCTCAGCCATGCCCCAAAGCAGGTCTCTCTTTGTGCTTAGGCTCCACAGCCCCTCAGTTGGCAACTGCCCTGCTCAGACAAGTATTACAAGCTCTTTTAGTTCTGTTAGTAAGTGCCCAAAGGCACCCCACTCTGCCAGCCAGCCTCCTGCCTGAAGGTGGTCAGCTTGTTGCTCCATGGGCCTGGAAATCTACCACACTGTCTCCTGCTTGCCTCTTGGTTCTGTTGCCACTGTTACTGTGCTGCTGCTTCTTGCTGTCTCATCTCTGGTGTCACAACTCTCTCTGTCTCCTGGATCTAGAAGGTTCCCAGTGCAGGAATCCTGGGCCCAAAGGACTCACTTTGCTCCTGGCTCTTGTTTCTTGGTAGTAGTGAGATCCTCCCCTCTACTTTGGAATTGGCTCTCTTTTAAGCCTAGTGAGATGGCAAAACTGAGCAATCCTCATGTTAGGGTCCCATACACCTTATATGCATGGTACCATCTAAATAACAATGCCATGCATTTTATTTGTATTATTTGTAAGCTATCCAATCTCTTGGTGGGCCACAAGCACCTTATTTCCTACCCAATCTTTTCATGAGAGTCTTAAAAGACCAGAAGGGGCATATTAAGTATTTCACTGTACTGTACCAGAGCATATAAAAATTATGCTTACACTATACTATATTATACTTACACTATGGAGCCTGGCGGTTCAAACCCACCAGCCACTCCTCGGAAGGAAGGTTGGGCAATCCTACTTCCATAGTGATAACTGCCTCGGAAACCCAAGGAGGGGTCGCTATGAGTCGGGGCCAACTCGACGGCAAATAACAACAACAACAATGCTTACACTATACTGTGCCCTGATGGCACAGTGGTTAAAGTGCTTGGCTGCCAACTGAAAGGCTGGCAGTTTGAACCCATCAGTCACTCCATAGGAAAAAGATGTGGCAGTCTGCTTCTGTAAAATTTATAGCCTTGGAAACCCATGGGACAGTTCTGTCTTATAAGGTCGCTATGAGTTGGAATTGACTGAATGGCAGTGGGTTTGGTTTTTGGCAGTCTATTAAGTGTTCAGTAGTGTCATGAAAAAGAAATATTGTGAAAATCACCAAAATGTGACACAGAGACAAAGTAAGCACATGCTGTTGGAAAAATGGCCCTAATAGACTTGCTTGACACTGGGTTGCAGTTCTTCAATTTGTAAAAAAATTCAGTATCTGCAAAATGCAATAAAATGAGGTATGCCTGTATGTATGCATGTGTGTGTGTGTGTGTGTGCGTGTGCATGTGTATACATAACAGAACCCAATTGTGGCCAAACTAGTTCTCATCCTTTAATCTGCCAGAGGGCCAATTTGCTTAAGACTAAAAAGTTCCTTTGATAAGCAGCCTTAGCTGCTTGAATCTGAGATGCCATTTTTGTGTTTTGATATCCTTATTTATTCTCCATTTGTTAAAGTAACATTAATGTTTGTGATACTTTTCTTCATGTCTTTTAGAAAGGCTAATTTATTGAGCAAACAAGGAAGTCATCTTTAATCAAAACAGCAGCTTTCTGCAAGTCCTTCCCAGGACCCTTCCAAGAAAGCACCAGATCATTCTTTCTATTTCCCTCCCCCAAATCCACTGTTATTGAGTCAATTCTGATTAAGTAACCCTATAGGATAGAGCATAACTGACCTATAGGGTTTCCAAGCCTGTAAATCTTTACGGAAGCAGACTGCCTCATCTTTCTCTTGTGGAGTGGCTGGTAGGTTTGAACTGCCAACCTTTTGACTAGCAGTCAAATACTGTAACTACTATGCCACCACCAGAGCTTCTTTTTATCCCACTGCTGCCGCATGCTTTATTCTCTTTTCCTCTCCACACATATGCAATTCACTTCCAAGTCACTGCTTACGTCTAGAACATGACCCTTCTCCAACTCCTGCAGGATTGTGTCAGGACTCCATCTCTGACTTGCACCCCTAATAGCTACTTCCTTGTTTTGATTCCACTGTGCCCCTGTCCCTTGTACTCCCTCTTCCAAATCATTTTATATGCAGCAGCTAAAATTGTCTTTTTCTTTAAATTTTACTATGATTTGGGTGAAAGTTTACAGAGAAAATCCATCTTCCATACAGCAGTTCACATCACTTTGTCTCATGACATTGACTGTAATCTTCCACAATGCAACAGCTCTCCTCCCACTTCCTCCCCATAGCCACCTCTTCCCTGTGTCCTTCCTTCCCATGCTTCCTGCTGTGTTAGACTGGGTTCTCTAGAGAAACAATACCAGTAAAGCTTATATAT